TATTCCATTGTAAACATATACCAAATTTTAATAATCCACTCATGGATTGACGGGCACTTGGGTTGTTTCCACATCCTTGCAATAGTGAATTGTGCCGCCATAAACATTTGGGTGCAGATGTCTTTATCATAGAATGTTATAATTTTAAAGAGATTTATTCTGAGCCAAATTTGAGGACCATGACCAGGAGACACACCCAAGAAGCCTTGAGCAAGTGGACTCACTGTGGTTGGGTTACGGTTTGGTTTTATACATTTAGGGAGATAGGGATTACAGGTAAAGTCATAAATCAGCACATGGGAGGCATACATTGGTTTGGCCTGAAAAGGTGGGCCATCTCGAAGCAGCGGCTTAAAGGTTATAGGTGGGTTTAAAGATTCTTTGACTTGTAATTGGTTAAAGACATTAAGCTTTGTCTAAAGTCTTGGAATGTTTTAAGATAAGGAGCTGTTTATCAGAGACAAGCCACTGGACATGTATTTATTGTGTAAATTGAGGACCTGCAGGTTTGTCTTACACACTCTTAGGCCTGTAAATCGGTTACAAAGGACGTCTCCAAGAAGGGAGGAGGGCATGATGAGACATGTCTGATCTCCCTCCTCCTGGCAGGCTATTTAGTTTTAGGATATCACCTTGATCAAGAGGGGGTCCATTCCGTCAGCTGGTGGAGGGGAGCCTTAAGATTTTATTTTAGTTCTCAATGGAATCATGAAATATGTATCCTTTTATGTTTGACTTTTGATCATCATAGTTCATTTTAATTATTGTACAGTATCCTAATGTAGGATTATACTACAACTTTTATCACCCAGATTGGGAGGTTTGGTTCTTGGGGAGACTTTTGGTTTTTCCCCTATCCCTAAATCCCCTTCTGTGGTAGCCAAACTCTGCCTTGTTTACATGGTGGGTGTTGAGTAGCCAAGAAATTTTTTTGCTCTTCCTCAAGCATTTGCAGATCTATGCTTTGATTTGGTACAAGACTTTGGACTAAAATGTTTCTCATCCCACCCACCCCACCACCACCTGGGGCTGACACAATCTTCTTCTCCCTTTTCTCGGAAGCAGTGATCTTTTCCTGGTTCCTGGGGTCAGGAAGGAGGGTTTTCTGTACCTCTCCAGAGGCAAATGAGGTTTGTTTTTACTCCTTCTCCACTGTTCCCAGAAGGGAGGGTGTTTTTTTCTTCTCTCCTCATAGCTGAAGGATTTTGCTTCATATGAAAGGATTCGGGGACGCGTTCAGTTTTCATGCCTGTCTACCATTCAGTGCCGGTTGTCTTCTATGGGCCTGAGCTACCCAGGGGAACTCTCTCTGATCCTCCCCCAGTCTTTCTTCTAAGTACCGTTGAGGCCTATGGAGAAGCTCTTACCAGTGAGTGTAAACTCAACTTGTGACTGAGACCTCCAGTTATTATAAACTGATACTTTGGTTCACATTTGGCGTTTTAAAATTAGTTACAATTTTATCTGATTTTTTCTTACTGCCTTTTATGACAGTCACCTCTTTGTACCGTGCTCTGTCAAGCATGAAAAGATTAGTATGTCTTGTCTCTTCTCAGTGGGGCTCATCACTTTTTGGAATTCCTAGATTGCTTTGCAACCTCAACTCTTTAATGGGTTCAAGAAAAGTTATGATTTTTAGATTATCCTTTCTTTTTTTCATTGTAGGATGTGAATAATGTTTGTAGCTTCCAACATTATAAGTTGAAGCAAGCATAAATCCTGATTTTTGTATTTTTTACTGATAATTTAATGTTAGCTTCCTCCAGGGGGAATATGCTTTTGCTTTTAGAAGGTACTAGGCCAGGGCAGTGATATAGTTTGGATGTTTGTCCCCTAAACCTCCTGTTGAAATTTGATCCCCGGTGTTTGTGGGGGCTACTGGGAGGTGTATGGGCCATGGGTGCAGATCATGATAATTTACGCAAGAGCTGATTTTTAAAAAGAGCCTGCCTCTTTCTTGCTTCCTCTCTTACTATGTGATTTCTGCATATGCCAGCACCTCTGCCCCTTCTGCCATGAGTGGAAGCAGTGTTGAGGCTGTCACCAAATGCAGATGCTGGCACCATGCTTCTCCTGTAGCCTGCAGAACTGTGAGATAAATAAACCCCTTTTCTTTATAAATTACCCAGCCTCAGGTATTTCTTTATAGCAACATAAATGACTAAGACAAGTAGATCACCTTAATCCAATTATTGAATTAATTTTTGTAAGCTGAGCCTCAGTATTTGTGAGGGAAGGCCTATTTCCATTTCTTGCTCATTCTTAGGGTGTAGACCCAGATGATCCTCACTGATTGGACATCATTATCAGGTCACATTTTCCTTGGCAGCATCTGAACTGCAGTTTTTACTCCTCTGACCTTATGAGATTACCAAAAGCTCTTCTTAGCTTCTCAATATTTCAGCTACTATTTTTATGTAAGAATATTCTCTTGGGGGAAAAGTAGAACAACAACAAAAAAAATTAGTGATATACTGTTCATGACATCTACCTTCCAGTAATTCTGATTCCTCAAACGGAGTATCTATCTGCAGTAAGAGTAGGAAGACAGGTGATCCTGGATCTATATTAACTTGTGCAACTAATGCCTTCAGCATGAGGAGCACTTAGGCTTCCTGAGTCCCTTTCACAACCCCTTCCCCTCGCCCTAAGCCCACCCAACCATGATTCTAGACAGGACCAGTACAGATATATGAGAGAAGATGATTTCAAAGAATGGCATCTATTTCATACTTGATTCTACCCTATTTGATTGGACAAGTGATAGCCTGTGTTTATTTTACATGTTCATCTAGTTAGGAAGTTTTAAATTAGTGTCATTGCTGAGTTATAAGATAGAAGAGGCAAGGACTAAGATATTAAAAACTACATATAATACAGTAGTTAAAAAGATACAACTTGGAGGGGAAAAAAGGATAGCCTGCAAATACCCAGTTTCAGAGGATTAAGCCAATACTTTGGTCTGAGATATCAGGTAAAACTGGATGGAAAAATCTATATGTAGAATCAAAGCAGAAAAGACTGATATCAAGCTTTAGAGAATAGGCAAAAAAATGTCATTTTACTTGGTTAAGAATTTTAACCAGGTATGAGTGAATAAAATGATTATCGAGTTTAGGCAGAAAGAGCAGGAATAAACATTTCAGGATCTGGTACAAGTAGATTCACATAAAATTACAACAGAGTACTTTTAGTTCTTTCAATTCTAGGACAGGGACTGCCCACCCTGTATCTTAATTTTAATTCCCATATTTATGGTTGGTTGTTAATGACTGGTAGATATGACCAGCTTCTCAGAGTGAGAGCAGGGCCCTGCTTTATTTGTTTAAAATTATTTGTATCCCCTAGGTAGTCCTAACAGTTCTTCTACAAAGAATTACAAAGCACTGCTTGAAAAAGGGAGAGGAATAACAAAATGGAAACATCACATTTGTGTGAACGGATCACATAATATAGGCCAATATATTTTCCTCCTTGTAGGAAGACTCATCTTAACTATTTTTCAATGACTAATTGTTAGAGATAGAAAGAAACCATGAGATAACTCAGGTTTTAAAATATATATTAGTATGTCTTTCTGTATTTAGTTAACTTTAAAAAATCTTGAATTTTAATGTATTTTGCTGTAAGACAAAAATTGTCATAACACCTATAAATCTTATAAATCTTGCTTATTTCCTATAGTCATTAGACCTCAATTTCTGAATGTAGGCAAGGTAATAATGTTGATTTAGCTAACTAATCTTCATGGAGTGTGCATGTGTTCCTGATTTCAAGAGTACTGGCTCTCAATTTCTAGGAATGGTGTATCAGTTAGCTAATGCCACAAAAATACTTTGTTGCAAAGCACTCCAAAACTCAGTGAAATATAACAGTATTTATTATGCTCACAAGTATAACACAGCAGGTTCCACATCTGGGGATTCAACCAACCATGGATTGAAAATATTTTTTAAAAATTAAAAAATAAAAATACAACAACAACAATAGTGCAACTTAAAATGATACCTTATAACAACTATTTACATGGCAGAGGCAAGCCTCTTCTAAGTGCCTGTCTACTTCTAAGGACCTGTAATGCAAAATACTACTTATACCAAGGAGTCATATTTTGGGGTGAAATTTCCTGAGCTCCTTCAGTAGCAAGAAATCTCTTACTCACCCTAGGTAGTAAATAATTTCTTCCAAAAGTGAGTACAACTAAAAAGAAATTAAATTTATGCGATTTTGACTCTGTTGAACATATTGGCACTGTACTGAGTGATGCAGTGTCTTTAAACTTTTTCAGGCATTTAGATGATTAGCAGTCAGCTAACTGTAAATGATTTAACTTTCAAGTATGGAGCTGGAAGCAAACAGAAATATAAGATTGCCTTGGTCATTGTACACATTTTAACCTAAAAGCTTTCTATATCCAGCTTTATGTCCAATTCCTGAGATTGAAAATAGAACTAATCTTCTTCCTATTTTGTGATTACTCTGGATTCCTTATTTTTAACTTGGTAACTTTTAGACATCATTTGCCTATTTTCATGAAAAAGTTAAGTCTAAGATTTTTTTAGAATGTACACTGAAAGTCTCAAGTATTTGCTGTAGCACTCTCTGGTGTTATCGAACAACATAATTATTATTTGATTTTTTTCTTATTTGAACATAAGCTTAGATTTTCCGACTTAGCATTCTTTTAACAGATACTATTATTTGTAAATTATTAAAATAGTTTCAGCTGAAATATTTGTGCAGTTCTCACATTTTGTACTAACATCCTGCCACAGGGAGATTTTGTTAAATCTTGTTTGGTTGAAACACATTGTTGTTACTGTAGGTGCTGATTATTCTGATGCCGAGTTTCGAATTGCCTTGATTAAAGTAGAAACAATCTATGGCTTGGATGACTTACATTTCAAATTGGTTTGAGCAAGATGATTGGTATGAAGGACTACAAAGAGTAAGATATATT